AAGTACCGCGCATATAATATATAAATAATTATACATATATATATATTTATTTATATTTATATACACTTTTCACACACACACGCACACACACACACACACACACACATATATATATATATATATATATATATATATATATATATATATATATATGTATATGCACATTTTTCTAGTGCCGTCTTCTGATTTGGGTAATTCCTCGTCACTAAAATATTGTATTTTGGACAAACCTATGAAACTAATGTTGTATTTTGACTAATCCTTGACGCCAAAATGGTGTGATTTTGGCTAATTCCCCTCAATAAAATGTTGTAACCTAAGGAAGGTTACTGAATAGAATAATCAAACGAAGGTTGCTAATGAACAATAATATTTAGTACAAGAACAACACATATAAGATACGCCAGCGGCGCGTAGGAGTAGTAAACTGCTAGAAGTGAATTCTTCAATGAATCTCCAACAGCAGGATATCTACCAACCTCCCCACGCTGTCAGATGTGACACAAGACCGAATTTAATGTAGGGTATCCGAACCCATAGGCTGGGCTAAAAATTCCTCGTAAGCCTCGTATAAAACGGGTTTGGGTAGCGGTTTCCCGAGACGAGACACTGCACTTCGATACAGTTTCGTCTGGGGATCCTTTGATATGCACAGCTGGAGACGAATCTCCACCTGCAAGATATCTACTAACCACCCTACGCGATCAGATGTGGCACAAGGCCGAATTTAATGTTGGGTATTTGAGCCCGTAAGCTGGGCCGCAAATTCCCTGTAGACCCCGTGAAACGAGACTCTGCCATTCGATATAGCCTCGTCTATGAATCCTCTCTGCTCGGAGGCAGAGAGTTTGACGAGCACAGCTGGAGACGAATCTCCAACTGCAAACCAGCATGCAGTATTTATATGAATGGGGCCACACCCATTATCATCCTCAGGTTTGTTGCAACAATAAATATACTGTTTAATAAATAAATGAATAAATACAGAGGTTCTACTCAAATATGAGTATCCATTAAAAATAAAGTTTAAACAGATTAATTAAGAAAAAAAGAATAAAGACCAAAAGGTATAAAATATCTACCCATGCAGTAACCAACAATGATCTGTGTTGCTTATTAAGATAGAGCTAAAGCGACCAGAATACAAGCTTGCCCCTCCCCGCACATCCCCGCACGTGCCCACGTGATAATATATATATATATATATATATATATATATATATATATATATATATATATATATATATATATAAATTCAACTTCAAATGTTCACGTAAGTGGACTCGTAAATTGAGTATGACTAATTGTAATATATTAATATATAAGTTAAGATAATTACTGAACTTAAAATCTACAGTTTTACACTAATTTTGCACTAAATGCGAAAATAAATTACAGCTAAAAAGTGTGAGGAACAGTGTCTTCCTTTAAAATACACTTTAAACTGGGATATGTTTTTATGGCACAAAATTTTGGAATTTATTTACTTAGCCGTCACAATCTCCTGAGTCCCCACTGAATGAGTATAGGCTGATTTAGATAAAGAGGGTTCTAAGAGAATACCTAAACTGTATGTGAAAGTCTTCAGTTCTTGAACAATGTTTTAAAAGGTATGCCATCTCATTGTGTTTCAAAAACTGTTGAAAAGATTACAAATAAATTTATAACACAGTAGTGAAGACAGGTGATGGTTTACTGACGAAAACAAAATATGATGCTGTTGTATTATAAAAAAAACAAAAAAACTTAATAACTGTAGTTATTAAAATGTTACCTTTTACTTTAAAAGTATCTCATTTGAATTTTTTTAAAGAAATTCAGGATGACCCCAGACATTTTGACTGCAGTGGACAGTTGATTTAAGTTATTGGTTTCTTTTGGTTTGTTTTCTTGTACGGCACATCAACCTCAATGGATTATTTAATTCCGTCAAATTTTTTATTGATAGTAATATTTTTTCCTTAAAAAATGTATTGCTAGTAATATTTTTTCCTTAAAAAATGTATTGAAGGTAATGCTTTTTCCTTAAAAAATGTATTGCTGCTAAAAATGTATTGCTAGTAATAATTTTCATAGTGTTTCCCCCCTGTTTGGTGTTTATCTATTTGCCCATAGCTGGGACCCCTAACAGGTGCTACCACCCCGAGTCAGGGTGAACCTGGGACATGAGGAGATGGTTCCAGGCTCATCAAAACCTCTTGATCAGAGACCTTGCATTTCGACGTAGTTTATCGTCTTACCTAGCATGCGGATGTAGTTTATCGTCATACTGAGGGCAGGATTTCAGTTATATACAAAATAAATCCCTATTTCAAAATTGAAATATTATGCTACAAAATTAAAAGTAAATATCCATTATGATGTTGAAGAGAAAATAGTAAATGGAATTAATAATATCAGTGAAAAATATACGACCCACAAACTGTAATGACTCATAATCCCCGCAAAGGATTAACACCTTTTTCACCACAAATGCGACACAAAATATATTCTTTTGATTGGATTATACATGGGTATTGTAAGGTTTCACTCGTCTAGTTAATCCGGGCGTCTTTCTACATTATTACAAATTGGAGAAAGGATAAATCTAGAGAAATTAGTTGCATGTAGCCAATTAGTGGTCTGAGGGTGTGGCTACGTACATGGGTGGTCAAGCCATGCTTAAAAGAGAGGGAGTCGCCAACAAATGTCGCATAATGTTTCTCTTTCTCATTTCACTCTCTTTCTCTTCACTAAATTTACACCAGTTTGTGTGAACGCCAAATATGGGATTTTTTTTTTCAATTTTTCTAATAATTTTTCTTCTTTCACGTTTTTTTAATAACTAATTTCCAGTCCTCCGTATTTTCTGGCTTGTCTATTCGTCATACCTCTCCTGCATAAAACGTTTTTATCTCTCTTTTTCTCACTCTCTCCATCTGCAAAAACAAACTCATTGTAACTACGAACGTTGTGATGGTGATTTTTAAAAACACGCATGAACGCACTCATTTATAATTATTTTTAAAATTTTATATTTATCCGTTGTAGCTATGGTGTTTTTTTTTTTTGCACGCCTCCCAGTATAAGGGAGATAACCAGAGATGGTAAAAATGGAAAATGGCATTTTAATCAAATGTATTTTAAAACATAACTACTACAAGTGTAATAAATTTTACAGTATTTCTTAGTTGATTTTGATATAGAAATCATATATATATATATAAAATTTTTATTAATTTTGTTTCCTTACAGATATTCTATCTGAAAATAATTTAAACACACACACGCACACACACAGACACACACACACACACACACACATATATATATATATATATATATATATATATATATATATATATATATATATATATATATATTATGAAATGGACAACGTCCCACAATTATTTAAGACATTTTTTATGTTCATACGTTCTTTTTTATAGATACAAATATTTAAGTAAATGCTCTGTTTATAGTAAACAGTATTAATAACATTTAACGGCCTGAATGTCCGAGAAATTTTCATAGATATGCGTAAATTCAGGCCGGTAAATGTTGTTAATACTGTTTATTATAAACAGAGCATTTACTTAAATATTTGTATCTATAAAAAGGACGTATAAACATAAAAAAATGTCATATATATATAGATAGATATGAACATAGATAGATAGATAGATAGATAGATAGATAGATAGATAGATACAGACTTGGATAGATAGATAGCCGTAGCACAAACCACAGGTGGATCCCGTGGAGGAGAAACACATATGCGCCTAAAAAGATGTCAGCAACAGGGATTAGCTAGATGCGCCCTAGCAGACAAATACGCTCGGAAAACGACGGTAGCCGGTTCTTATGTATACGGATAGGTACATACATGAATAGATTGATGTCGATATGCATACACAACTGTATGTGGGAGTATTTATATGCATACACATGAAAGGGTCAATAAGTAAGTGGCCTGAAGCAGCTTTGGTGGTGACTGGAATTTTCATTATACAATGCATATGGAAAATCTTTGCATTATGTGCGTTGGAAAAGAAACAGTTTATGTTAAAAACTTATATATATATATATATATATATATATATATATATATATATATATATATATATATATATATATATATATATATTCTTCTTTTCTATGTGTTGCTTCCATTAAGAACTGTGAGAATTTCTTCTCACACAGTTTAACCCTTGGCAGAGACAAGAAAAGACATACAATTAACAAAGCCTACCTTAAAATTCAATACACATTTTATTGCGTCTTTGCAAAAAAAGATTATGCCCTTTTTGCCCCTGTGAATAGGGTGGGGTAGTTACTTCAAAGAAGTGGTAGTAATTTTTTTTTTGTTTGTCGGACTCAACTGGGCTCTACGCTGATTCGAAGAAGCAGGAACTTGACGGTCGTCGCATTACCAATTTGGTTGCTGAAATAACAACTCGGCTATTTGTCGAGAGCATGCAGAAAAGTTCTTCATGTAAAAGTACATAAAGAGATGACAGTTAATATACCGACTGAATTATTCAGCCTTGAAAAGTCTCTAGAATATGAGACAAGAAGAATAATTGTCTAGTCATTTAGGCTTAATTTTGAGCGCTAAGGGCCCTGCAAAGTGATTGAAATATGAGTCCTGTCATTTTGAATATTTTGCAGCAACTGAAAAAAAGGCACGGGCCGTTGAAAATCCCGCGAAAAGCAAAGTCAAATTCAACCAATGAGATTGGTCGGTACATAATACGGTGTGGCATAAATTAGCCAATAGGAGCTTAATTGCAGAATTTCTCACAGAACGTAGGTGATCATGTCCCACACAATTTACTGTTCTTTGTTTTATCATTTTATTCGTATCGTTTTAATCTTTTGAACTAATTTGCTCTCCTTATCCCCCTGTTTCTAAACCTATCTTACAATCTTTATGTTGGAAAATAAATAATTGCGTCAAATACATTGCATTTATTAAAACGACGTATTAATACATCTGTACATATATTACTTTCGTCCACATGAAATTTCCACTCCTCCTCCTCCTACGTCTTCTTCTTCTTCTTCTCCTCCTTCTTCTTCTTCTTCTCCTCCTCCTTCTTCTTCTCCTCCTCCTCCTCCTTATTCTCCTCCTCCTCCTCCTCCTTCTTCTTCTTCTTCTTCTTCTTCTTCTTCTTCTTCTTCTTCTATGTATCGTGTCCGTTCAGGACGTAGGTGATTATGGCCTCCCGCAATTTCCTGTCCTCTGTTGTATCTCTTCATTCTATTTGTTTTACTTTTCGGACTAATTTGCTTTCCTTCTCCTCTCTTTCTAAACCTATCTTACAACCTTGTCCTCTTCTTTTCCCTGGTTCTTAATAATACATTCCTTTCCTCACCCTATTTTCTTTCTCAAGAAACAAGAAGGAACGTTCATTTTTCTTCCATTTTTCTCCTAATTCTTTTACTTCCCTCTTTCCTAAAGTTCAAATTCCTTCATCCCATTTTCCGCTTCCCACCCGATTTCTGTTCACCTTGTCTACTCATCGCACCTCTCCAACATAGAATGTTCTTATCTTCACCCTGACAACGTTCATTTTGCGAAGGTCATATTTTCCTATTGACACTTTCCCATCGCGAGCACTTGTCCTGATCATTATCGGAACACGAAACGGCATCATAAATTAAAAAGAACAGAGTCATTAGTTTTAGACTTTAGAAATTATTCAACATCTTCTAATTAACGACTGTTCAATCAACAATTTTGAAATACCTGTCAAACGAGGCGTTTGTCTGATCGCAAGCAGAGTTTGTATAACATGTTTGGCTTAGATATTTTACAAGTATCAGGTTATTGATTTTATACTATTTTTCTTTTTTATAAAATGTTTATTATAATCGTTATTAACGTCAGTGTTTTCTTGGATAAACAATCAAAAGTCAAGAAGCGACGTATCGTATTATCGTTTAGGTTTTAATGAAAAGAATCTGAGAATCTTATGCAATGTCCTAAAGCTTTCAGTGTTTTTCTTTTCTTAGACTTCTTTCCTTTCAGTTTTGGTTCTTAAATTATTTTTTGTTTTATTGTATTAGCAGTTATTCATTTCATTGTTTTGTTTCTCTTAGCCTTCATTCATTTCAGTATTTTTACTCTTAGCCTTTATTTTTTTCAATCTTAAATTTCTCTTAAACATTATTCATTTCAGTATTTTGTAACTCTTAACCTCCATTCATTTCAGTCTTCTGTTTCTCATAGGCTTCACTTATTTATGTCTTCTGTTTATTTTAAACTTCATTCATTTAAGTACTGTTTCAAATATTTTTCAATTTCAGTGATTTGTTACTTTACCGGTCACACATTTCATTATTTTGTGACTATTAGCCTTCATTCATTTCAGCGTTTTTTTTTCTCTTAGCCTTCATTTATTTCTGTGTTTTGTTTCTCTTGGCTTCCCTTCATTTATTTTCTGTTTCTGTTAAAATTCATTAATTTTTCTTCTGTTAACTTTCATTCATTTATCTTCTGTTTCCCTTAATCCTCATTCATTTGTCTTTCGTTTCCATTAACCTTCATGTTTTGTCTTATCTTTCTCTTAGCCTTCATTCATTTCAGTATTGTTTTATATATTTTTCCATTTCAATTTTTTCTTACTTTTGTTATTTTCATTGTTTTGTTTGTCTTAGCCATCATTCATTTCAGTGTTTTGATTCGCTTAACCTTTATTCATTTCAGTCTTCTTTTTCTCTTAAACTTCAGTCATTTCAGCTTAATTTTATATATATTTTACTTTTCAGAGTTTTGTTATTTTTTTACCGTTCATTTATTCATTGTTTTGCTTTTCTTAGCATTCATTCATTCCTGTGTTGTTTTTTCTCTTCGTCTTCATTCATTTCAGTCTTCTGTTTCGTTTAAACTTCATTCATTTCCCTTTTGTTTCTCACTATTTTCTCTTAAACTTCGTTCCTTTCGGTTTTGTTTCGTATATTTTTTCACTTTCAGTGTTTTGATATTTCACCTATCATTCATTTCATTGTTTTATTTCTCTTAAACTTTAATTATTTCATTCATATGTTTTTCCTCACGTTCATTTGTTTCACTTTTGTTTCATATATTGCTTTCCATTTCAGTGTTTTGTTAGTTTACCAGTCATTTATGTCATTATTTTGTTTCTTTTAATCTTCATTCATTTCAGTGTTTTTTCCTCTTAACCGTCATTCATTTCACTACTTTGTGATGCTTTGCTTTCATTTATTTATAGGTTTTGTTTCTTTTGGCTTTCGTTTATTTGTTTTCTGTTTCTATTCACCATCATTCATTTCAGGTTTGTTTCTTATATTTATTTCGCTTCAGTACATTTGTTACGGGTCATTCATGTCCTTGTTTTGTTTCGATTAAACTTTATTTATTTCAGTTTTTTGTTCCTTTAGACTTCATACATTTCATTATTTTGTTTCTATTAGCCTTCATACATTTGAGTGTTTTGATTCTATTAGCCTTCATAGATTTGAGTGTTTTGTTTCTATTAGCCTTCATTCATTTGAGTGTTTTGTTTCTCTTAGCCTTCATTCATTTGGGTGTTTTGTTTCTACTAGCCTTCATTCATTTGAGTGTTTTGTTTCTCTTAGGCTTCATTCATTTGAGTGTTTCGTTTCTCTTAACCTTCATTCACTTCAGTTTTCTATTTTCTCTCAAGCTTCATCCTGTGGCACCATTTACCAAGGCAGAAAAAGAAAAGAAAGAAAAGAAAGGAAAGGAGAGGCGAAGACCCAAAGCGTGGATGATAAGCAGAACACCACGGCTAAGAGACAGTGGATAAAGGATATTTTGATAAGTAACAAATGGCGAAAGAGTGTCATTACAATGGCAGGGAAATTCTGAGTGGATAAAGGAATCGGGTGTGCTCTGGCGTCGGGCTGTGTTATCTGGGATACATAAACAAACCGCTGGTGCGGGAAAGCATCTGATTAAGCAAACCCCAGACGACTAGCCAAAGAAAAGTCCAATTGAAAACGTTAATTTTGATAATTGACAAAACACAGGTGAAACTACAGGGCTTTGGATAGATATGAAAAATTAATTGTGTCAAAAGCCGCACATGATGTGTCCACTGACCGATTTCTTTCGACGGAACATCTTTAGCCTGCGATAATAAAACTATGTTATCAGAAATGTGTACCGAAAAAATGAATGGGAACTTAGAAATATTTCTTTTCGAGGCGACGGTCTGGCTGTGCTAAAAAGACCACCCATTCTGATAATTAGCGATAAGATGACTGACGAAGCCCAGGTGGGAACAAGAGTTATGACGACCGTCGTTCGTATTGTTCTGTTTGCGGCTAGAGAAAATGATAACTGCGATTAAAAGAAAGAAAGGGAAAAGAAAAAGATAATTCTTTTTTTTTTGTTAAGCAAGATATTTTTTCCTAAAACAAAGCCGCGGAATCGTACAGGCCCGACTAAAACATCATTGGTCGAGTGGTGATCACGTGACGCAAGTAGGATGGGTATGAGAGGTTGCTACGAAGAAGTGGTGAGGGAAGTTCACGCCCCTCTGAAGTATGGTGAGAAGGTGGGAGTAAGAGAAGGCTCCCAAAAATGGAAAAAAGTGGAAAATTCCTAACCATAAATAAAAGAGGTGGATATGTATTTAGAATTATCGAGGAACCCCCGGCGCCGACAAACCCACCCCGGTTTTGGTCGGCGTCCATATAAGCGAAGTTGCAGCGAGCAGAAAGCAGTTGAAGTTAAGTTGCAGTTTGAGTTAAGTTCGAGTTGAGTTCCAGTTCGGTTCGAGAGAATTACCGCCTCGCAGATAGCTGACCAAGATTCGCGCAAATTCCGGACTTCTCTTCAATCCAAGAACAATTAATTTGAAGAGCGACTTAGATCCAGACCACCAAAATAAGTTTTTTTTTTTTCACTTTCGCCCGAAGACACACCGAAAAACCAATTTCTTAAAGAGCAAACAACTTGAAGTGTTAAAACTCGCCTAACGGAAAACAACGTGTCACAATCCATAGAACGGGTTGGGAAATAGACGCAGTCCTATGTATCCAACAACTAGACATAAAGTTTGTTATCCTTTTTTGATACCTTGAATTTTGAGTTATCATTTTATTTTCTTTTATGCATATTTGTGGGTGTCACCCCCGTTGAACCCGATTTGCATTACGGCCCCAACTACTGATTGATCTCGTCTGCCTAAGATCAATTCACAACGTGGTAGGCAGACTGGAGATCAATGCAGTTACTTTGGTAACCAGGCGTTGGAAGCGAGTTCGAACGACGAGGCTGATATCGAATCTAACCAGATTCTCATCCGAATCACCAAAAGGTTAGAACGTCACATTTGGGTGCCGCGACCGATACCAAGCCAGTTGGTCGTCACAGGACGAGACAACACAACTGACGCGACAGGCGGACGTCACGTTTGGAGCGGCGACACCCGAACGGAGCAGCGAGGAGCGAGCGAAGGCTGTGTTTAGGGACGTCGCGGCTGACGCCGCAACCAAGGACGTCACAGCTGGCGCTGCGACAAGGACGTCACAATCCATTTTTGTTTTATTTCTCATATTTTTTTATTTTTCTCTCAACCTTCATTCATTTCTGTTTTGTTTTTCATTTCAATTTCTGTTAAGAGAAACAGAAGATATAAATGTTTGGAGGTTAAGTAAACAAAACACTCAAATGAATGAAGTTTAAGAGAAACAAAAAACTGTAATAAATAAAGTTTAAGTAAAGCAAAACAATGAAATGAATGACCGTGTTTTGTTTCTCTTAGCCTTCCCATATGTCTTTCACAATATATAAAACGTATACATAATTAATTTTACCGCACTTAACAATTAAACGATATTCTTCTTCATCAACTGATGTTGCGTTGGAGACTAGCTACGTCATTAATTGATGATTCATTTTCTTTTGCTATAGATAGTGTAACCGTCTCTTCCCGATTTTAAGTCTAAGTTTCCTTTTTGTTTCCATTTTTTCTAAAACTTCGTCGTTGCTCACATGTTCGGTTTATGGTATACTCAACATCCTTCTGTAGAACCATATTTCTGTTGATTCAAGTTTCTTTTTATCCGTGAGGAGATTGTTCAGGATTTTCTTCAATATAGGAGGATTGCTATTAATGGGTTAAGAAATACGGTGCTTATGCTCAGAAATAAATCAGAAAGATCAATACAAATGCAGAAGGTTGTATTATAGATTATGCAAAAAGGTTTGATGAAATTTACCACAAACCGCTAGGTAACCATGACATATTTGGGAAGGAGATTAGAATAATCTACAACCTATACTGACAGAAAAGCACCTGCATATGGATAGAAAATGAATTCAGTAAATATACAATTAGTAAGGGATGTAAGACAAGGATGTCGTCTCTTCTGAATTATTCAATTTTTACAGTGAGATAGTTCTGAGAGAATTAGAAATTTTACCAGAACCATTATTGGTGGCCGCAATCTTAACACCATAAGTTATGCAGATTGTTGATTGCAAACACAGAAAGGGAACAACAAGGAACTCTTCAGAAGACAATGAAGGAAAACGAGAAGAAAGGAATAAACATTAATTGCAAGAAGACAGAATGCATGCTTATCACCAAATGGAAATATTCAAAATTTACGATACCAAAATCAAACAAATATAATAATTTAAATATCATGGAAGCGTTGAACAGAAGGCAGAAATTGCGGCTCTGAAATCCGAAGAAACAGAAAAATTTCGTTAGGGACAAAGAATAGAGAATTGAAAGTTAATGGTTTAATAAACTACTTGCGAGATTCACGAATAAAAAATAACTTTGAAAATTCTCCTATTGCATCGGTAAATACTTAAACTTCAACAAAATATTGCAATAGAAATCATAAGAGTGACATTATTTGAAAATGTAAAATGGTACAAAAATGGTTTGTTATTTCGCTAAAGCAGAATTTAAATGCCTGAGATCAGTAACGTCTCTATCTTCATATATTTCTTTCTTTTTTTTTTATAAGTTTTTGTTGTATTTTTCTCACTAACACCAAACAGCTTCTCTGATATCATTTTTTTCTTCCGTCTTTCTTCGCAACCAAAAAGGAATGGTCAATCATTTATCCGAAGCAATGGCTGGATGCAATGCACATGATAACTTATAAATTAACAAAGGAATAAACAAAATTATATGACAATACGATACTGTCGTTTTAATGCTTTCGATTCTTCCTCATATTTCCAATTCCTTTAATATCTTTGCAAAAAACGATAAACTACGTCCGCGTTCTGGGTAAGACGATAAACTACGTCCAGCAGCAAGGCAACTGATCAAGAGGTTTTCAGGAGGATGGAACCACTTCTCAATTACAGTTGTTCTCAGGTTAGTTCTGAGATGCGTTGACTGAAAGGAAAATTATATAATGTATGTTAATACAAATTGTAAATCTAATAGATAAGTAAACATGTTGGGGTGTACGGATATTTAATCTGCAGAGTATAAACACACACTCGTATATCTATCTATCTATCTATCTATCTATCTAGTCTTAAGTTGTGCTATATTTATGGGATAAAGTGCTCAGTATCAGAGATAGAGCGTATATAAATATAAAAGTGAACATAGAAGTCAACACTTAGAGGCGACAGTCTGTTTCATGCTAGACGCAATCGTCAACCCTGACGATTGCGTCTAACATGAAACAGACTGTTGACTGTTACTTTATATATATATATATATATATATATATATATATATATATAGATTGATAGATTGATATACGTGTAATTATAATGTTACATTTAATGTATCATTATAGTTAACAATATATACATATATTCTATATGCGTGCATATATATGCGTGTGTGTGTGTGTTTCTCTATTCTTTGCCACATTCCTGCTAGCTCATTCCGCCAACGAGATCGTCAATTTGACACCCTTTCTAAAGACAGACAAATGATTTTCGTAATACAAACTGGCGTCGCTCTAAAAGAAAGCTGTAATTCTTACACCACCTGTGATCAATCGTGAAAGACCCGCTTTTGGCTATTCTCTTTAAAGCTCCCATCATTTATCGATGCTAAGAAACATCGTCCTTTATATAATATCACGATTATTTATCCTTTTTCCTGGTGACGGTAAAAATACTCTAACATTCAAGTCAGTGAAAATAGCCTTGAGATAATTTCCTTTCATATATACGTCTGTATCTTTTATTTCAGTCCCTCACTCAAACCAGGAAGGTGTTTGTCGTATTTGATTCTATTTGTGGATTTTTTGTTTATATATAAACTCATATAAACGACTACGATAATATTGTTTCGATGATGAAAATAAACTTCTATCAGACTCATGTTCCCCCTTTATGTGCCGTGAATCTTCAGGCGGTCGTCCTTCACGGCTCTCCACAACGTCCTGTCCTTCATAGCTCAACGTATGTTTTTTTTCTCCTTACTGTCTCTTGCAGCCACTGTTTTGCAATTCATTTAGACACTCGGGTTTTAGTAGTTTATTCGCAATAACATTCTGCCCTACTTGTATTTCAGATATTCTGTGTGCATCAAATTCTATAAGCCCTCATTCTACAATGTGCCTCCCTAATGTTTCAACTTTCTCTTTATTAATAGAATTTTGATTATATAAATACATGTTGCACATTATTTTCAGAGAGGAAAGTGTCGGAGTTACCTCCTCCTTCAGTTTGTAACCCTTTCACCAGAGGTCTCTCTTTCCTGGCTATAAATAGCCAATGACCCTTCGCTTCGATCTCTTTTTTTACTTTTCAGGCTTGTGCACTAACGCACCGAGGTAAATTTCTCTTCTTCCTAGAGGATTTCAACTATCAACCTCAAAATGTAGTCCCTAACAAGAAATAGCGTGAAATCACGCTAAGCACAATACACACACGCTCGCACACACGGAATATTCCCACACACTTTGTCCTTTGTACTGTTTTCTTGTATTGTAACTTGTTATGAATATATATTTGTTGTGTATACATATATTATCGGTCTTGTTTTGTTTGCTTTCTTTTCCTTCTTCTTTGGACTTAACCAAGTCCAAACTTTTTATGTAGTTGGGCCGGCTAGCAGGAGAATCTGAACCTTACAGGCGTTTCGTCCACGTCTGTCTTCTCTCAACAAACCGTAACCGCCAGCATAACAGCCACGGCCCTCTACAAATGGTGACCTGGACGTGATTTTTCCACTCCTGCTAAAAAACACACAAGACGATATATATGTACAAAAACAAACAATTTCTTATACACACACCTTCCCAAAAAGAGAGCCAGATAGGAAAAAAATTGAGAAAAACTTCTTTTCGTACACTATCAACGAAAGAACAACAATTACTACTATTGAAGACGAACCTTTAGAACTCTTTACCCACTGGTCTATATTTGCTTGACCCTTTCTTTCTCTCGGCGACGTTTGACCTAATTTCACCCGGCAGACATGCTTAAGGCTGTACCAAACGGAAAACAACGCTATTTTCTACTAACACTGTTTTCTTCTGGACTGAAATAGAAAAAAGTGTGAACCAAACCACTGGACGACTCACTGTTCCATTATATACGATTGGTGATTCCAAACCATTGCAGACGACTCACTGTCTCATTTTCTAAACAACATTCGTGATTCCGACATGAAGCAACACTCAACTTACACCACGTGGCGATATCTTCACGCCACTGCTTGCTTCTCATTCTTCTCAAACACACGTGGACATTCTAGTCAACACAACTTCAACTGACTACACATCCACTCACATTGTGCTAAACATTGCACATATTTCAAATGTCCAATGCAGTCTTAAAAAGGCAATTCACCGTCCTTTATCTCATTCTGCAATTACGCGACTCAAACAAACCGAGATTTTGCCAGAACGATACTCTATCGACAATACCAGCAAATTCTCTCAAACATGCATTCGACACTCAGTAGAAATTCAGCTCAACTTCACGAATACGCTGCGTCTATTAACTTTAGTGCGCCGATGAAACCCACGAACCACCTCGTTTTTCAAACCAACTACAAACAAGCCAGCAGACAGGTGCATAGATCGACACAACCAATTCAACGTGGAGCAAAAAAAAGACAAATTTTGATAGCAACGCAGACCACTACCGACGCATTTTACAGGACGCCCAATTCTAACTCACTGAAATATAACACTGCACCCTGAGACAACACTACATTTCGTCGAATCACGAATCTCAACCACACTTCTGACACATTTTCTTTTCAGCCCACAAGAACAATATTCAGACTTTAACGAACCTTTTTTTCTTTATATATTAAAAGTTTTCATTTCCTTACAACCTTTAATCTGGTGGGGGTATTGTCGAGTTACCTCCTCCTTCAGTTTGTAACCCTTTCACCAGAGGTCTCTCTTTCCTGGCTATAAATAGCCAATGACCCTTCGCTTCGATCTCTTTTTTTTACTTTTCAGGCTTGTGCACTAACGCACCGAGGTAAATTTCTCTTCTTCCTAGAGGATTTCAACTATCAACCTCAAAATGTAGTCCCCTAACAAGAAATAGCGTGAAATCACGCTAAGCACAATACACACACGCTCGCACACACGGAATATTCCCACACACTTTGTCCTTTGTACTGTTTTCTTGTATTGTAACTTGTTATGAATATATATTTGTTGTGTATACATATATTATCGGTCTTGTTTTGTTTGCTTTCTTTTCCTTCTTCTTTGGACTTAACCAAGTCCAAACTTTTTATGTAGTTGGGCCGGCTAGCAGGAGAATCTGAACCTTACAGGCGTTTCGTCCACGTCTGTCTTCTCTCAACAAACCGTAACCGCCAGCATAACAGCCACGGCCCTCTACAAAAGCAAAGTATTTTCTAAAATATTATTATTATTATTATTATTGTTATTATTATTATTATTTTATTTCTTTTGAGTTCTGATGTGTACTCATTTCTTTCCGTGTCCCTCCCAGGGACCTAAGGTTAGAAATGGCATCATGACATTTTCCACTGGAAAAAAGCCCTTCGTAAGGTGTGGGTTGTACTTGTGAAAACATTTTTTTTTGTATTTCTTTAAGGCATGGGCTTCCAGGAATCCCTTCAATTAGTCTACTGGAATTTTTTCCAACCAATCCGAGGGCTCCAACTACAAAGAAGATTGTGGATGTTCCCATGTGCCACATTTTTGAGATTTCGATTTCAAGGTCCTTGTATTTTGATAGCTTTTTGAGGATCTTCAAAGATATATTGCAGTCTGCAGGGACTGCCATGTCAATAAGGAGGCAATGTTTTGTGTGCAATCTCTAATAACAATGTCTGGGCGATTAGCTTTGATTGTTCTGTCTGTGTGTATTGTGTAGTCCCAGAAAATAATAACAGCTCCTATCTCCATAACATGGTCTGGGTGGTGTTCATACCACATCCTTTCAGTTTCCTTTCCGTTAAATTAACCACTATTCCTGTTAAAAAAATCCCCAAAATAGGGAGGTGTGTGAATCAGACATAAGGCAAACCTATTTACTACTATTGATAAAAAAAGGAAAAAAAAATTAAATCAAATTTCATAGTGTTGGCGGACACGATAGCTGTATAAAGTTGAAAAGGACTTTAGAACCGGAAACCAAACCCTGATCAAGAAAGAAAGTATAAACTTCAATTCCTGTTCCTGGGAGATGTGTGAACCGAACGACAACTATTGAGAACAAAATAGTAAATAAAATTTCAGAGTTTTACACAGATTCGTTAGCAGTATAGAGGTGAAGTCGACTTTAAAAGAACCGGAAACACAATCCTTTTCAAAAGACTCAGGAGGAAAAAGAACAGGATTATAGGCGAAACTGTCTACTTTTATTGAGAGAAAAGAATAAAAGAAAAAGAAATATGAAATAAAATGTCAGAGTTTTTAGAGGTTTCATTTTTTTCTTTTAAGTATTTATTTAAATTTTAACATAGTTTAAGTTGTCATACAACTTTCCCCCCAAAATTGTACTTGATATATAATATTTACATATCGTTATCTCCCCCTATATATATATGGATTAAATTCGACATGATTTTAATTTATTTTGTTTATTTTAATGTATACTCATATTTAAGTACATGTTCTGTATAGTATATTTATTTATTTACCTCTATCGGCCTGAATATTCGAGAAGTCTTGTTAAAAAAATATGCCGGAGGGTGCATATTTTGCTAACGAGTTTTCTCTTAATAAGGAGATCTTCATAGTAAACATCATTTCGTAGACATAAGTAGGGCATTGGTTTATATTTATTTCATTTTTTGAAATGCGAAAAAAAAAATAGGAGTAAATCGTGCTTTTTAGTTTTTTCTTTGGCTGGTAAAAATATAATAATAAATATCTAAGTATTGATTTTGATAACTAATTGTATCTTTAAAGGTCATTTTTACGAAAATTGATGAAAATGTTTCATCTGATAAAAAAGCAGTTTCGTTATCGATTTCTATTCAGTTTTACACAAATCAATGTCAATAAGAGAAAAATGGTAGTTTTAACGAAAAAAGAAACAAAACCTTATTTAAATTGATAGTTGTTTCAAAATGTTCAAATAGAACTCGAAAATATACTTGCGTCTTTAAAAAGGTATAAAAGAACGGTCACTTTCTTTAAATATTTAAATTTGCGAAAGATCACATAGCTGTACAGGTGTTGCAAAATTATTGATATAAAAAATCGAGACATATAAAGTATTTCTAGCCGAAGTTCGAGGATAAGGACTTATCCTTATTTACATATTTTTTAACACTAGTACTATTGTCCCCATCACAAACATTTCGACTGTTGCGTTTCATCAGAAGCTTGACTGGCAAACCTTTAGGGAATTTCGAACTGAATTCTTTATTTAATATACAGGAGTAGATTTTCTTCATTCTAACAATATATTGTCTAGTTATTATTTAGTACTGCTTAGTTATTATTCAAGTTATTGAGTCCTTGAAATGTTGCGATAATAACAACAAAGATAAATTAATGGCAATAGTCTGAATTTAAATAATGCTTAAAGCAATTATGGCGAATATTTGAGGTGAGGAATTATCATTATTTTAAATATCATTATTCGGACTAGTTTATTTAAGTTGGTTGTTATATGTACGTCATTTCCGCTGACGCACTCTAGGGCCTTATTTTGATGTCTCTGCTTGCATACATTGCAATCTATTTGGGAGGTAGAAGAACACAACGGCTGAAACATTATTATGACAATAGAAAAGAAGAGCATTCTATTCGAATAGTTAAGGCATTTAACAACATATAAATATATACAGAAATAGGGTACACATGCACATACAGGAATGGTTGATTATAACGTTCTTCTTCTTCTACTTCTTCTACCTCTTCTATCTATCTATCAAGCTATCTATCTATCTATCTCTCCCTCTCTCTCTCTCTCTCTATATATATATATATATATATATATATATATATATATATATATATATATATATAATTATATAAAAAGGCAGGATGTGTGTGTGTGTGTGTGGCCGCACTTTTCGATGGATTTGCACCAAAATTTGCATGTACATGCTCCGAGTTAGCGGTAAGGCCAAGACTGACTTTGCATTTCCCAACTCCCATCGATAGTGGAAATAATCGATTTTTTCTTGCTTCTACGGTAGTTTTCATGTAGTTTGCGGCCATTTTCTACTGGCCAGAGTGAGGGCATATAGCTGGCTGCCAAGAAGAGGCAGGAATATTCTGTTGGCCAGCGTGAGAGACAACAGCTGATGTTAACTAGCATGCTAACATGCAAAAAAAATCGATAGCTGCATTCGTCACAAGACGGAAAAATTTAAATCTGCATGACACTTTACTCCAATTGGCTCATTCGCTTGCTTAAACTCCACATTGATTCTGATTCCGCAGAACTGGGTTGGGTGTGAAAAAGTATTTGTTGTTAACATTCTTTTTTCATTCGGTTTTTCCAGTTACGAGTTCTTTTTTAAAGCTGACCGTTTTGTGTTAATTTGGTTTAGTTCTTTTCTCGTAACAGATTTAATGTTTAGTATGGAGCTTAGAAAAAATTCGCACTGTGAGATGGGAAAGAAGTAAGGCATGTAGCAACATCAGCACGGCAAAGGTCACTCCTTTAAAGGCAAGGAAGGGCAAAACTATTTTAAGTCAAGTGATAGCGATTGCTGTATGAGTCGTACGATTTTTTGAATCAAGCACGGGCAACGCCGGGCCATGCTGCTAGTATACATATATATATATATATATATATATATATATATATATATATATATATATATATATAGAGAGAGAGAGAGAGATAGATAGATAGACAGATAGATAGATAGATGTGTATGTGTATCTGTGCATGTATGTATGTGTGTGCGTGAGAGCGAGAGAGTTTGTGCATGTGTATAAATAGGTGTTTGATTAAAAACTAGAGACACTGAAAGATGTTTTCATTTATTGTTTTAGTGAACGATTGTTGTCTCCGTACAAGATAATGTACATCAGATTCCAATCGTTTATGTGACTAACAGGATGACGGAAAAAGAATCTGTGACCACTTTGCTTTTACGATTTTGAATATTTTTTGAATATGCCGTTTCCTCTCCCTCTCTGCCCCCATGTATATATATATATATATATATATATATATATATATATATATATATATTGATATATATATATTGAAATAATAAGTATATATATATATTGTTTCAAATTTGCTTTAATTACAATATTTGTTATAGAGCGTTTGTGGACAGAGTCAGTGTGGAAATATTACGTTACTCAAGAATCGAAAGCTAAATGCAAATACATTAAATAATAGCACTATAACAAATCCAAATATTTCCATGATATACTATGCATATAAATGTAAAGAACATTATAAATATACTTTAGACAAATTCAATACCTTAAACTAAACAAATTCCCCTATCTCGACGCAAGAAAAAAAAAATTTCGCCAAAGTTTCGAACGTGATAGGAAGGATAAAAAAATAATAAAATAATAAAAAATATTTTCCTTTTAATAATAGTATACAGCTTTTGACGATAAATCTTTGTCTTTTATTAAGTTTGAGGCTTTTTTCCTCATGTACCCTATTTTATCTGCGAATTACTGGAGTTACCTAGTTTAAAATATCATTTTAAAAGGTTTCACATGTCATTAAAATGTTTTGATGTATAATTTAAGCTGATTGTTTGAAATTGTTCGTTTAAAAATATTTAAAAGCTTTAGAAATGTCATTTAAAATACTTTGAAATATATTTTAAATAATTTTGAAACATTTAAAACAGTGTATTATGATTCAAAACAACATTTAAACGCCAAATATCCTTAATATTGGTTCCAAATATCATTTTCAAAACTTTTGAAATAATCCTGAAAAATTGTTTGAAATATTTAAAAAAATCGTTTCTAATATAACTTTTATAAATGTAAATATTTAAGAAACTGAAATAGCATTTAAAGATTGTAATATAATTTTAAAATTATTTGATATATTAAAATTAAATTTTTTCTTCAAAATACTATTTAAAAATTGTTTGAAACATCATTTAAACCTTATTTCATTTTGAAAATGTTTGACATGCCATTAAAGATTATAATATCGTTAAATATTTCTTTAAAATATCATTTAATAATTGTTTGAAATATCAGTTAAAATTTATTTTTAAAATCATATTAAACATTTACGTTTTTTACCCCGTCATGGAAAATTTCCGAAGCGATAAAATTTCATCAAATTTTCTTGCAAATATTTGTTTACTGTTCCTAATTTTCCGTTTTGTCTACATTCTTATATCCCCCTCTTTTCCTTTTCTCTAATCATTGCCCCATATAATTTTCTATAGCTTCTAATTTTTTTTCTATCTGTTCATATTCAATGTCTTCATTTTCCCATTCTTTTTATATTAAAGTCCTAACTTTTCTCTTTCTTTCATATTCAATTCCTTCCGTATCTGTCTATATTTCTGAGATGATATGTACATTATTTACATTATTCGGACTATTGTCCTCATCTTTGTCGCCATATTTATTACAACGTTTCGGCCGTTGTATGCTCCGACCTTCTTCGACTTTTGTCGAACTGAACCCTTTATTTCGTTCACTGGGGTAGACTGTTCTAGTTCCACGTGCCATGTTTAATGGATGTCAGTTATCAGTTATCTCCTGTTAATTTCTCTCTGAAAGTTCTCCACTGCCTTAACAGGGTATTGAACTCACACTCTTTGTCTCCTGTCACTGGATCTAACTAACGCCTTTATCCACAGTGCCATGTGTCCTTGCTTCATTTTCCACTTCTTTTCTCTTTCTTTTCATATTCACTTCCGTCCTTTTCTCTTTCCTTTCATATTCAATTCCATCTTTTTCTCTTCCCTTTCATATTCAGTACTTTTTTCTTTTCATATTCATTTGCTTCCCTTTGTCTTTCTTTTCATATTCTATTCCTTAGTTTTCTTTTTCTTTTCATATTCAATTTCCTCCTTTTCTTTTCTCTTCATATTCATTTGCTTCTCTTTCCCCTTCTTTTAAAATTACTTCCTTTTCTCTTTCTTTCATTTACAATTCCTTTATTTTCTCTCTTTTTATATTCAATGTCTTTCTGTTCTCTTCATTTTTATATTCAATTCTTTCTTTCTTTCTTTCTTTCTTTCTTTCTTTCTTTCTTTTCATATTCGGTTCCTTCCTTTTCTCTTTCCTTTTTATATTCAATTGCTTCATCTTTTCTTTTCATTTTGAAGCATATCATTTTCTCTTTCTTTGCATATTTATTCCTCCCTTTCCTCATTTTTCAAATTCAATTCCTTCTTTTTTTCTTTCTTATCATATTAGGTTCCCTTCTTTTCTGTTTCTTTTCTCATTCAATTCTTTCCGTGTCTCTTTTCTTATATTTAATTACTTCTTTATCTTTTTCTTTTCATATTCGGTTTTCTCTCTTCTCAACGCAATCCTTGTTTGTCACCGGATTTATCGACCTCTTTCAAAACATGGCTACCAGCGACAAACGTTTCCTTGCTACTTCATGTCCGTCGAATTCCAAACGCACAGTTCTGAAACGGTCGCATCGTTTTCTTCAAAGAATACCCACTCATGATCTTCATTCTGATACGCTCTGCGTTTCGTCTCACTCTGCCTCTCTTAGGATCCACTTGCTCCGTGATTATGTCTTTCCCGGTGACACCAACTCTCCTCTATCTCATTTCGAACTGCTATTCAAGCGTCCATCACCTTGGAGACTTCGTCAATTCCAGTTAGAAAATGGCAAGCCAAGGGGATATTTTCGTCTGAGAGATTTTCAAGTGGCGAGAAATCCAGAAATTCTTGGGAGCGTTTTTCGACAAAATTGGCTGAGGAACTCGATAAATATGATTTAAATCTATGGTAAGACAAGACAATCACATTCTGATGAACATACGCCGAACGGAAGTACAGAATATAACAAAAATGAAATAACAATATTCCCACGCCTATATATATATATATATATATATATATATATATATATATATATGTGTGTATATATATATATGTGTGTGTGTGTGTGTGTGTGTGCGTGTGTATAATTGTATTTTGTCTCCCTCCAGAAAAGAAATAAGAACTCAATGCACATACACACAACACACACACACACACACACACACATATATATATATATATATATATATATATATATATATATATATATATATATATATATATATATATATATATATATACGCGTGAATAAGATATATACATTTTTTCATATCAATGGTTGTTGCGTGAATAAGAAAGCAGAAAACAATTCCTATTTAACAAAACAATAACAATGTAAATCCTGAAATGGGAAATTACACTATTAATATCTGTGAGTTTGGAAATTACATTATTAATATCTGTGAGTTTGGAAGGAATGCAGGTTAGATATGGAAAAGAATGCTAACAAAAAGAACAAGCAGGTAACGTTTATCAATCTGACATGTTTCTCTTTTATTAAAGCTTCATCAGTCACTGAGATTTGTAGAAAAAAGAAAGAAATGATGGTATTTTTAATTTTGTGTTTTTTGACTTTCATTGTTTAATCATGTTTTATATTCATTAGACTTGATAAACACACGTAGTTTATGTCGTTCCGAAAAGAAGGAGAGATAAAGTTCCCAAATTTAACGGGTTTAGGCCTAACTGAAAAACTGTAAATACTACTTTATATATGTATGTGTATAATAATTTTTTATGTGGGTTTCGCATGATAATGTATATTCATAAGTATATATATATATATATATATATATATATATATATATATATATATATATATATATATATATATTGTGGTGTCCTTCTCTAAAGAGTCTATGTTAGACTCTTCCGCCTACTATAAGTTTAGTAGGAGAGAAGATTCAGTGAACAGTGAATCGATTGAGCGCTGGTTCAATCGATGCACTCTTAATATTCATATTCTGGTGTACTTACTGTCTAATATACAATATATCTGCAAAACTGGTCTTTGTTATTAGTTAACCATTTACTTGGTTACGTTACAACAATATATATATATATATATATATATATATATATGTGTGTGTGTGTGTGTGTATAAAAGTGAACATTGACACTCAGAGGCGACAGACTTTCATGCTAAACGCAATCATCAGGCCACTGAGTGTTGATTTCAATGTTCACTTTTATATTTAAATACGCTCTATCTCTGATATTGAGCACTTTATCCCATGTATATATATATATATATATATATATACAGGTAAAATTAGAAGAAATGGAATATAATTCCACTGTACCTAACATTTAATTTAAAATATAGAGTAGAGCTAAATATTATTCATTTTAGGATATTAAAACACAAACATGTTAAAATTCGCTACACTTTTATAATCATGTTTCTACACCACAAATGTGTCTCCTCAGTCGATGTCACACCACATGCGGGCGAAAGAATTAATTCAATTTCAATAGCAGAATACTTAAAAAAATAAGCTTGTGAGCTTTGCCATGAATACCCAATCGAATGTAATCGACGCTAAATTCAAATCCACCGTGTGTGGGGGGGGATTGAATATAGGTCATGTTTTCTGCATATAAATCCTAAACAATTTACTTATGGACATATAGAAGTTGATACATTGTTTCGTAATATGTATTGATGAATGACGTTTAACATTCCAAATAAGCAAACGCTAAAGGTGGGGAGGGTGATAATTTAACACAATGCTAATATGTCCGTTCAGCTTCTTACATAAACATTTTATAGTTGATAAGTGCAAGGTAAATAAAATTAATAATAAAATATCGAAGCTGGCCATAAATTGTTTTCCATGTTTATGCTTCTCATAATCTAGTCTTTAATGGTTGTGGAGTTGATGGTGCTTATGAACGGAGTTAGGATTTTTGGGGACACAATAGGTCTGATGGATATGCTGGATTTGGGTGAATCCTTATAGTGTAGGTGTGGTGGGGTGATATGCTATTATTCGAGTCCAGGATTTCTTCTCATTTTTCAATAGTTCTTGACTCTTTCATTGAAGATTTATTTTTCTATATTTACTGTTTTCTCGTTGTTTTTATGTAAGTATTGTATACATTTAAGAGAAATGATTATGTTTTTATTTCTGGACAATTATTTTTATAACTAAAAAAACATGTCTCTAATCTAGACAAAATTTTACAAACAACACATTGGTCGAAATTCGTAATAGCGTGAATTTCTTAGAAATGCAGTTTTAATTAAGAGATTTTATTAACAAATGTATAGAAAGTGAATTAATTTCTGAATTTTATGCACTGAATTTAGCTTTCTTAACTACTGTTATAACAATGCGAGTTATTTAAAATCAATGACCATCTGAACAAAAACAAAAGCTGCAAGAAGTTCAATGAGTTCTGCTTAAGG